AACGTTGTTCCAGGAAGAATGGAGCATCGTGTCACACTGCTAGAAACACCCAAAAGGGGCAACTTCTGGATACCATTTTCTTCCTGCCATGGCCGAGCCAATCTCCTGACATGAACTCCATCGAAAACCTCTGGGCCATACTCGACCGGCAAGTCAAGAAACAACAAAAAAACCAAACTTCGAAGAGAGATCTACTCCAAGTTTTGAAGCAAGAGTGGGCGAAAATCCCACAATCTATAATTGACGAGATGATTCTCACGATGCCCCAAAGGATCAACGAACTCCACGAAGCAAAAGGAAGATCTACTAGATATTAATTAAATTATAAATATATCAATTCATGTGAATATGACTGAAAAATTAAATTTTTTCGGAAAAGGTGGTGTCTGTTTACTTGTGACCATGCTGTGAACATTGTTAATAAAGTAGTTTAATTAAATTTTGAATGTAACTCTGTAAAAGGTGGTGACATGCATTTTTACCTACCCAATGCAAAAGGGTAATAAGCTAACCATTTAGATGTAGAACAACTGATATCCTATAAGAGGTTTTACAATAAGATTTCAGTTGATGTTGGAAAATTTCAAGTCATGGTCTCAGATCATGCTGTTAAATTAGTTTTTGGATAAAGTGTACCATTTATCTGTACTGAGGATTAATCACGCTTTGAGAGTGACATTTCAGGTCCTATGTTGTACATGAAACTACTGCATTATTGATCATGTTGATTCTTATGGCCATGATTATTTGGTTTTGCCTGACACTGCAATTTTCACTGCATTGAATGGCAAAAGATTAACTATAGACTGCATATTTTGGCAAACTCTTCACACACCATGCATAATATATTTATATATATATATATATATATATTAGTAACTAAGGCTGTCCGCAAGCAAGCAAAATGCACTGAAGTCTACAGGTCCACAGTTAGTTGACTTCGTACATCAGAGAAAGGAAAAGTATGAACACCAGTTTCATTCTCTTTGGTTTGTAGAAATACTGCCGTGGTCTTGGATATGTGATTTCAGGACAGCCGTACCTTGTTGACCACATAGTGCAGAAATTTCATGTTTAACGTAATATGTTCGGATGGTAGCTAGGCTGTACCTTTTATTTATTACGGACATTAAGAAGTTGAAATTTTACACAATACAAAAAGCCTGCAGCAGTTATGAAGCCTGGCGTAAACTTTGTTTACATTTTTTTGGCCCATGTTGGAAAGTTTTTATGACATTGGGATTTATAGCAAATAGCTCATTTCTTGTTACAGTCGTTTAACTACACCCAGGCCTCATCTAGTGCTACAACAAGCTTTCATCTCTCATGAGAAAGGTGTTTTATGTACAGTTTTCTGCAGTTTATCTTGTCCTTACCATTGCATATGGGGAGTAGCTTGTGTACACATGATTTGTTTTGTAAAACAGTGAGGTATTTGTGAATTTTCCTTTAACACAGTTGGTTAGCATTTTTGCAGCTTGTTACAAATTACACTGGAGTTCCTGAATAACAAGTCTGCTTATTTTGGTAGCTCTGCATGTAGTGTGATGCTACACAAGTATCCTGCCATGGAACATTACACTGTCAAATTGTTTGGATTTTGCTGCAAACCTGTGGTCCATATCTGTAACAATATGATGCTATATTGGTATATATAAATCATTTTTATTAAATTTGATTAATCCTCCATAATATGTGCGTAAAAGAAGCACAAAAAAGTCATACTCGACTATTTCAGAATGAACTTTTCAAAAATAAAGTTGGATATTAAATAAGCACTTAGAATTGATTTTTTTTTATAAGGCTAGAAGTTAGAATACAGATGGTGTAATAAAACATCTTATTCCAGAATTACTCTTTGATATTGAAATATTTTGAATTAATAATAATTTTGTCAATAAATGTCAACTAGTGGTTATTATTTTAACAGTGAATGAATAAAAGTACTTAAATAAAACTTTGTATTTTTGATTAGGCTTTAAGTATTTAACCTATGCCTTCCTTTAGGATACTGAATGTGAGTAAATAGTTTGAATTATTGTAAGAACAATTTAGCTAAAGTCAAGCATTAAATGTGTAATATAGATCACCTGAAAACTGCAGTTTTCAACAAATTCCTTATTAGCACAGTAACTCTGACAACTCATGATATATTCTCATACAAGCATACTTACAAGTAAGGAAAATTCATACCAGTAAAGCACAACATATTTTTTAATTACAGATATTGTGGAATCAGTATTCATGACTTGTAGTCACTAATTGATATTCCACTGTGTACTATGTGCTACAGATATTTGAACAAAGAAATTAAATTATTTTCTGGTCAGTTACTTCATACTTTCATTAACCAAGAAACATCACAAGTTATTGCTTTATGATACTGATGCTCCTTTTTACATTGTGTTCTTTTAGTTCCAGCATCCTCAGTGGAAAGCTTGACTTTTTATAACACTAAAACTTGAGGATCATTCCAGGTACAGCTAAAATAGCCCAAAATAACTGCATAACAACAAACAAAAAGTTCTAACATTACTATTTATTTCCAGGTACAGTAAACTTCAGTATCTAGATCTCAGCATGGTAACAATTGCAGTGGAAGGACTTAATGAAATCCTATTGGTATGTAAACAGTTAAGGAAACTTAGCTTGGAACACTGTCAAGTTAACAGTGACACTTTTTGGTAAGTATGTGCATTTTGTAAAACATAACTTTTAACAGTGGCTTTTATGTGTGATAGAAAACTTTAAGCAGTTACATCTGAAGATGGTTGAAGAAATGGTTTTTAAACAGTGATATTAAGATAGCAAACTTAATCCTGAACTGTGACATTCATTAGTAAGTTGCCTAATTAGCTATTGTAATAAACTAATCAAATGATTGTACTCTGATATATTTTAACCATAAATAAAAAATTTTTATACTCCTCTCTTCAGTCACATAGGTGCTAATGCAAACTTGGAGGTTCTGAACATGACAATGTGTAAAGGGGTTACAAGTGAGGGATTACAAGCTATCATATGTGGTTGTAGAAGGTGAGAGGCCATATTTAAAGATCTGATAAAGTATAGTAAATGTTTCATCTTGATTTAATTTGGGTGGTGTAAAAAAATATGCTAAAGTGATAATGAACTTTAATAATAAGCATACCAGTTCATAAACCAGCAGTGTTTATCACAGCTACACCAATAACAACCATATAGTGTTTGATGTGGATAGTATAGGGACTTGAGTTTCCAAAAAACATAGAAATATGATAATCATTAGAATGTATCTTTCGTGTAGGCTAGTGTCATGGAACTTGGGCTGGGCACATCTTTCACCAGACTGTATTTGGTCTTTGGTCCATTCACTACCAAACTCCATTACTCACCTGAACCTTAGTGGCTGCCGAGAGAAACTGCTGAATGAAGGTATGCGTGTATTGTTAACATAAAAATATTTTCACATTTTAATGTAATAACATAAGTTTTTAGTTTTAAAACCAGTTCTCTAATATGATGTTATATAGAAGGTAGGGTGTCAAATAAAAGTTTGAAGTTCTTGAGTAAGTTGAGCATTAGGTAACAAATGTCAAATTAATCTATTAGGGTGAATTTTTTTTTCTCATAAAATCTTTATAAAAAAAACTTGTTCATTTTCACAGACATAAAATGTAGTTTTAGTTTAAAACAAGAACATTTTTATATAAAAACTTTTTTTTTTCTGCTAAAAGATATTGCTGTACTAGTTCAACGATGTCCTAGACTTCATTCTTTGGATATTAGTGATGCCACACTGTTAACTAGTGAAGCTTTGAATGAAATACTGAAGCTACAACACCTACAACATCTGCTCGTTAGTCGCTGCTACAGTATCCCTCCTGCTCATTATTTGTAAGTAACAGTACCATTATTTTTCACTTTTGTATTTTTGTAATACTTAATGATCAGAAAGAAAGAAAAAGCCAAGCCTCTATTAACACTGGACAAGAACAAACTGAAAAACAAGATCAGGCCTTTTGTAGTTTGAATTATAATTTGTTTATCATATTTATACTATTTTTATTCACCACAAGTAACTTGCATTAACATAAAATTGAAGAACAGTTAGAATTAATATTATCAATTAATTTTTGTACATGCTCCACATGGTTATTTTTTTATGGAGCTGCAATTTACGTGTATGGTAATTTGAATTTATTTTATTCACCAAAAGTAATCTATGGTAATATATTTGTTTTAAAAACAAATAATATCATATTATTTGCAAACAGTGTATCAGTAAAATTATAATGAATTAATTGGAAATATTAGTTTTCTCTGAGATAACATTATGAATGTAGATTACATATTATGAATAAGAGCTTTTATGAACATCTCACATACATACACACAGTTAATATGCTTTTTTTTAATGTTATAACATGTATTAAATTTTTTATTTTACCATTTCACCCTGTACTGTTTATAAGATAGTTTTAAAGTTTGTCTTTATTTCAAAATGGGTGATTTCAAATAGAAACTATAGTAATTCATGCAAACTTTAATTTAAGTTAAACTAGTTTTCTTTTATCTCAAGAATGCAGGTTTTATTTATTACTCTACAACTGTTTGACAAGACACAACTGGGACAAGAAACTATACAAAAGTAGTTGTTTGTGATACTTGAATGTGGTTATTTTTGTTAGTATAATTTCCTTAGCTCCTTGACATACGCAAAATGTTTAAGATTTGTAGTTAGGTCTTGTATAATGCATTAGGTTTCAGCTATACTTTATTATTGTCTAGATATTTGAAGAATATGTCATCTTTAAAACATCTAGAAGTGTTTGGTGTTCTAACAGAAATGGCCATTCAGTCTTTACGCCTCAGTCTGCCACATATAGAAATTAATCGCCAACTATTTTCAACCATAGCCAGACCAACTACGGGTATTCATCGTACCAGCATCTGGGGGCTACGTGTACGTGACTGACAAGTGGAATGAATTGGTTCTCAGTTGGAAAGTGTGTTCTTTTAAGAATTCTTTGTGCAATTGGCAACACTCATTAATTTTTACATCACCAACAAAACTTGGATAAAAAGTGTTTTTTTTTTAAATGGAATTGTAGAAATAAAATACAGGAAACTAACATTACTACTAGTGAGATAATTTGTTCTAAAATACTTTTTTGTTTTTCATAAGCTTCTGTTTTGAAATTATAGTAGACAGTGCTGTCTAAAGATAAGTTTCATTCACCTCTTGAAACTGAAAAATATTATGTAAAGTGGCTTGAAACATTGTCTCTGGACTTGGACTTGTTACATGGCACTATTCAAAAGGATGTCAGCTAGTCATCTCTGAAGAATGAGCTTCTGTTATTTCAAAGTTTTGTGCATAGATATTGGAAAGTTTCGGCTACATCATAAAAGTTTGCAAAACAAATTTATAGTGTTTTTTTATTATTTGCTATTAAATTTTTCAAAGAAGTTCAAGTTATAGGTGACAATTTCAGTCATTACCCTTATGGGACACAACATTATATAAACTTGTAATGGTTTACTAAATTTTTGAAGGAATTATCTGCAACATTTTACTGCCTTTTCAGCATTCTTCGTCTGTACATTAATAACAAATTTAGAATCATTGTCATTGAAGTTCTTTAGAACACAAAATATGGTGTTCACAATTTATTGTCTAGCAAGTGCTTGGTTACATGCGAGTTTGTTGTGTTTGACTTTTTCACAAAATATACGTTTTTTTTTTTGTTTCTTTTCAATGTCAGAAATTGTACAGACATTTGTATTTTAGGTTAATGCAATTCAAATAGTAACATTTCAAATTTTTTATTAACAGATTTTTCACAGTTAAATTTAATTTTCAATTCCAGGCATTTTTGTATGAAAGAAAAAGCAGTACCTTGTGATGTGTAGTTCAAACAAAATATCCTGAAGATACTTGTCAGTTAAGTAAATCTAAGTAGAAATTACAGATAATTTAAAGTAGCATAGTGCTACTTGTAATTTCTATAATTAGGCATGCATAATAAATAACCACAACAACAACAAAATTTAGAGAAACAAAAGTAAGAAAAAAAAAAGTTGTTTACTAAGTTTTTCTTAACTGTACACACGCTAATGGGTATCCTCCACCCACCCAGACAGACTGGTGAATATTTAGTGCTTAAATTCATTTTTATGACATAATTTTGTAATGGAATAAAATAGTTCCATAGCTAATGAAGCAAACTTAGTAACAATACTGAATCAGTTGTAAATTAGTGTACGTATCTTTCAGAAAAAAGTAATGTTACTTTTATTTCAGTAAGACATGACAAAATATTTTTGGTAACTTAAAATGAAACCAAAATTCACTTGTTTATGTATGATTTAAAAATTCTGTTTGCTTGACAGTTGTTGAAAGTTATTATTTTGTACTGATCATGTAGGACTTCAGTGTAATCAGTTGTTCAAGATGTAGATAAGTGTATTATGCCATTAAGTATGTACAGTTTAAACTTTACTTTAAAACAAAATATTTTCATCCATTGAATTTTGTAGACATTTTTCAAGATTCTTATATTAAAAATTGATTTCATCAGTGTACTGTTGACTGATTGGTAAGTTTTTTTTTTTTATGTTCAATATTTTATGCTAAGCATGTGTGCTAGAAGGTTCTTTTGATCTGAAGCTCATATGATATATAATTCTAACTTGATGTCTCATTCAACAGATGGTTTCAAAATGTGCTGATATATAATAAATATATTTATTTCAAAAATACTTAAACTTGGAAACAGTTAATTATTATCCCTATCACACTACTACATCTTACATTTATGTTAACTTATTATTGTATTTTTCTTTTCAATGGGTTGTATTCCAGTCCTTTCCTTTCACTCCCTTCTTTTTTTAGTATCTAGCAGAAAAACTCAGTTACTTTAAAATGGTAATATGCAAGTATTAAATATTGTAAAAATTTATAAAATTAGCACACGCACGCGAAATACTTAAATTTTATTTCAAATATTAGTGAGATAAATAAACTTAACACATGTCTGTTTCTTGAAAACTAGTAGTTTATTTTTCATTACAGAAAATTTGTTGGTAATTGATAATATGAATTTCTATGTATTTGATTGTATCATTACATTTACCATATTAATGTTTAGTAGTGTAATAAATTCTGTCATTATATATATATGTAAAATGTGTTTCAATCATGCCTTTTGTCACATTTAGATAAATTCCTGATAAATTTAGAAGTTTATGATTTTTATTGACTAAAATTGTAATTACATCTTTTGATAAGATTATTGATGCCAACTAATAACAATAAAAAATGAATCTGTATTTGACTAAACTCTTGTGTTGATAGAACCAAAACTTGGGGAAAGTAATAACGTTTGATGGTAATGGCAACTATTTCAGTTATAGGAAAGGAAACAGTGAGGAATGTGATTTGAATGGTGTTAAAGTAAGTAAGCCAAAAGGGGAGAAAACACTCAAGAAACTGAATTTTTCACATTGTCATTTTGTTTAAATTTTGCATAATGCAGTAAAAGGCATGTACCTCATCAGTAACTTGGGAATAACCTTTAAATGACATATAAGTTATAAAATCATTATTTATTAGTTAACTTTGTAGTATAATTTATAACTATTTCTTTAACTTATGAATGAACAGATAGATAGTTACTAAGTTAAACATCTCATTTACTAAAGCCTGACAGAGACTACTTCTGTTGCTATATATTGGTACTGGGCATGATGCCCAAACTGAAGGTATAAAAGTAAGTTTTGTCTTGCATTAAGAAAAAAGAAGAAAAGATGGTCTTTTTTTCCTCAGAAACAGAAATGTGGAATACTTCTTCACTTCCTACCATTGTTATTCACTTTCAGTATCAAAATAATTGTGGATATAAATGTAAATCACTTGGTGGAATTTTTACTCTAGTAATATTTAAATTTATATTGCAATGAGGTTTAAAAGTGTGTAAACTGACGTTGTTCCTAAATTTTATTTTTTTTGTCTATAATATCAGACTTGTATTTTGTTTTATCCCTAAACCCACAAAATTTGAAAAATAAAACAGGATGCAATTTCATAACTTACATTTTTGCGAGTTCTCTTTAAGCAAAGAAAACATATGCAACAGTTGTTTGAGATAACTTACATGAGTAAGTAGTTGGATATAAATACATTGCCAATAGAAAACATGCAACTCAAATTCCTTTGAACAAAGCAGCAAGAGAAAAAAAACAACTTTTAATTAATCTCCTTCAACTTTAGTTTTAGCAACAGTAGTCTGTAAACAATATTGACAACTTTGTCTTTTATAATGCTTTGCACACCTCCTGTCCTGCTAACATGAATAACTGGAAAAACAAAAATACTTTCATTATATATTATGTAAGTAAGATGCTTTTAAAAATGTGTTAATTTTAAACTTACAGTATGATTGTAAATTGTATTTCATTAAGTCTTTAAGTGCCATATTCGCATGACTCAACTATGTAACGTATGAAAAAAACATTTTACTATCGCTCCGAGTGCGTCTGACACCTGTTATTGAGCCAGAGTTGGTTGCACAGTAACTGTATGCTGAGCGGTCTGAGAGAGCCCTAACAGTGGACTTGGAGAATCACAACAGCCAGAGTGTTCTCTGACACACTCTGATGAGCATTTGGTTACAAAACTCATTTGATTTTGGGTGTAAACAAAATAACTTATTTTTTATATACAAATTTTTAGTTATTAAAGAGTCTGTTCCAACTTCAGGTCCCATAGTTGGCAGCACTAAACCTATGGTAGGGATTGAAAAAATGGAATGTATTTGGCATATTTCTCGAAAAATTCCTTAGATCTTGGCTTTAGTTCTAGAACAGTAGTAGAGTAGAGATACGTATACTATTATCAGTTGTCTAGTTCCTGGAAAGTCAGTGGTACATTTCCAGACTTACAATGTCAAAATTCAGGGCTGCTTTTCTGCTGTAGACAGAGTGCAGATAGTCCATTGTGTACATTTGCAAGAAGAAAAAAATGTCTAAGTGGTAAAACAAAATTAATGGACCTGGCAAAATTATTGAAACTGATGAGTCAAAGTGGTCTTATGTCACAGATTTACTGATGTACTTCAAATACATTTTTTTGTCTACTTGAATATGTGGGTAAATGCAAACATTACACAATCTGATACATAAACTAGAACACAGTCCATAGGCTTTATAATTTATTTGCCTGAATTTAATGTGCACTTTTTTCCTTCTAAATACCTCCCGAAAAATTGACTGCGCATTATTTTCGCACACGTTCAATTTTGCTAGAAACTACCACCAAAAATCATTAAAGGTTTCAAAAAAAATGTTGCATATTCAATTTGATGGATGATGACATGCTGAGGGAATCAGAAGAAGATGAAGCAAAGGTTCAAGGAAGCAAATTTGATTAATGCGACGGTAAAGATTTATGTGAAGATGAATGATTAGCTTAGTGTAGCCCCCCAGTGGCACAGCGGTATGTCTGCGGACTTACAACGCTAGAAACCGGGTTTCGATACCCGTGTGGGCAGAGCACAGATAGCCCTTGTGTAGCTTTGTGCATAATTACAAACAAACAAGCTTAGTGTATTACCATGTATAAACTTTTCAGTAAATTTTGTAAAATTGACACGTAAAAAATTTCAATGAAAGACTTCCAAAAATATTTAACAAATCGATAGTTGTTTACTGTACTTAGAAACCATTCAATATATTTTTGTGTAACTGATGTGGAAAAAACATTTTCTTCAATTTAACCATTCAAAATTGAGTGCACATTATATTCGGGCAAATACAGTAAATTTAAATTGACTGGTATGACAAGAGACTTAGAAGATCTAGAAAGTTGGTGAAACAAGAAATTAAAACATCAAAAAGTATGTAAGAGAAAAAGTTGGCTGAAAATGAAAAAAATTAACAATAAGGATTTCTTTAAATACATTAAGGGGAACAAAATGTTAGGATATGGATAGGACCCTTGAGGAATGATATAGGAAGGCTAGTATCTGATGATTATGAGGTGGCTGGGTTATTAAATTTTATTTTTTCTTCGGTTTTTACTAATGCAGATTTAAGCAGTATTCCACATCTTCATCAGTTGATAAATGGAAAGGAGATCAAACAAGTTGACTGCATTAATTCTGAGCTGGTTAAGAAAAAAATTTGGAAGTTTAAAAAATGATAAGGCTCCTGGGCCAGATAATATTTCCCCAAGGGTTTTGAAGGAGGTTAAAGATTGGATATGTGAGCCACTTGCTACTATTTTTTGTTAGTCCTTGAATAGTGGGCAGGTACCAGAAGATTGGAAGTTAGCTATTGTAACTCCTATTTCCAAGGGAGGTGATAAAAATTGTCACAGTAATTATAGACCCATTAGTCTTACTTCAGTTGTGGGAAAATTTTTGGAAAGTCTGTTAAAAGATGCTTTGCAAAGTCATTTAACAAAGTTTACAGTTTTATTGGATAGTCAACATGGTTTCACTGAGGGAAAATCTTGCCTTACAAATCCTTTAACATTCTGTGAAAAGGCTACTGCTTATGTAAATGAGGGTAAGGGTGTAGATTTGGTGTATCTGGATTTTCAGAAAGCATTTGACAAGGTACCACATAAGAGATTTGTAAAAAAAATTAGCTCTATAGGTGTGGGAGATAAGTTAGCAAATTGGATAGAAGAGTGGCTGGATGGTAGAAAGCAAAGGGTTGCCACAAATGGAGTTCAGTCAAACTGGATTAATGTCACAAGTGGGGTACCTCAGGGCTCAGTCTTAGGACCTTTGCTCTTTTTGATTTACATCAAAGACATAGATGAAGGGATAGTCAATAAATTATTTAAATTTGCAGATGATATTAAGGTCTTGGGTGTTGCTAGCTGTAAGAGGATGCTGCTGATTTACAAAAGGATTTGGGCAAACAAATGGCAGATGGGTTTTAATAATAATCAATGCAGGAATAATGCATGTAGGTTATCATAATTTGAATTATAAGTATAATATGGATAGGAATAACCTTAACAATGTTAGGAAGAAATTGGATCTTGGAATAATAGACGACCAGTCTCTAAAGCCATTCAAGCAGTGTGCAAGTAGGGCAAATAGGATTTCAGGTTGTATCTATAGAAATATTGAATACAAGTCTAAAGGGGTTCTACTTTCATTGTACAGGTCACTGGTTAGGCCACATTTGGAATATTGTGTTTAGTCTTGGGGTCCTTACCTTAGAAAAGACAATGAATTGTTAGAAAGGGTTCAGAGAAGGGTGACTCGTATGGTGCCTGAGATGGAGGGATTGTCACACGACGAGAGGCTGAAATCTCTCAAATTGTTTTCTCTTGAAAAAAGAAGAGTTAGGGGGATCTTACTGAGATGTTTAAGATTGTAAAGGGAATTGATAGTGTTGATGTATCATCTTTTTATATTTAACAATGAGAATAGTAGGACTAGGGGACATAAATATAAATTTTGGCAAGGTAGGAGTCATCTTCAGCTAAGACAGTTTTATTTCTCTAACAGGGTGGTTGGCCTTTGGAATGAATTGTCTTCAGATGTTGTAGTGGCTTGATAACTA